GTGGCTTCTGGTAGCTTTTGCTAGCTTCTGTTGGCTTTTGCTGGCTTTTGTTGGCTTCTGGTGGCTTCTGGTAGCTTTTGCTAGCTTCTGGTGGCTATTTTGTCTGGCACGAAAGGATACCTGGAGACATCCCCTGTTGCTTGTGACGGAAGTCTTGGACGAAACGCTCGTTTTGGAGGAGTCCTATGTCACTTCTGGGGTCTCGCACGGAGAAACAACTATCATTTTGGAGACACGAGCCTGAGGGAAGGCGCCCACAACAGGACCAGAAAAAAATCCAAAAAAAAACGGAAAAAATTCCTTTAAACAAAACGCGGCCCTCCATATACCCTATCCAGTCCACATACCTTCTCAGAATGTATTTGGGCCCTCAGAAGGTATTTTTGTGTTTTCCTCTCTAGCTGATATGAATTAGACATGCTGTGCTCAACTGAGGACCTCTCACTTTCAGGTGGTCGAGGAAGAAGACTTCGCTCAAATTTCCACGGTTTCTTCGAAGAGACCGGTGGCTTTCCTTGGGGCGACGAAGAACAAGATTGATTCCTTGTTCGTGCATGCTGACTACATGGGACAGGGCACCTCGAGAGCAAGTCAGACTTAGGTTTTTACAATCCATGTCCGAAACTATTGTATGAATTATACATACATATATAACATATATAATATATATAATATATATAATATAATATATATATATAAGTGTCTACATTATAGGTCAATCACAATCTCTTAGAGTTGCTGTGTTTCTTTGTGTTTTTCTCACCTCTTTAGTAAATGCCATAATGATCCGTAACGTATCAAAACAGAAATTGCAGCCTGAAAGATGATTTTGCACCAACTATGTTTGGTATATATAAGTAGTCCAATGTGTGGTTTGAGCCTCTTCTTCTCCTTTTCGTGATCGATTTGCCGAGTCAGGCATTGGAAAGGCACTTTTGTGGCAGACCATCGTGAGCTTATTCGATGAGTTTGGGGAAGTCTATGTGGATGTGAATGAGCAGAATGAGCAGGCTCATCGCTTTTATCTAAGCCAAGGCTTCAAACAGGTGGGTCGGAGCGAGCTAGATGACGACGGTCGGCCATACCCGATACTGAATTTGTGCTTGAAGAAGGAAGAGACGGCCCAAAGATGTTCGAAGTGATTGCTTCTCTTCAGGTTTTACCTCCTCAGAACTGAGAGGCTCACAACCTTTTTTTGGACAACCCAAAATCATCAGACAACCACCACTGCGTCTCTGAAGAGGGTGGCTATCTGTGGCACTTGGCGTTGAAAGAACCTCAGAGACGGTGCCTCCCTACGAGACGTTGCCATGTACAGTTGTACAGTCAACCCGAAGCTGCGGATTGGAGAAAAAAAACACCCGGAATCAGTTTGTAAGGCTTGGTTGCAATTTGCTTTGCTCACCCCAAATTCAACTACTACAAAGATGACTGCGGGAGCGCCGGGAACTTCTCGCCACATTGGGAACTTGAAAACCCAACATGGAACTGCAGGTGCTGTCATGTGCCATCCACGTCCACCATGATTCCAAGGAGTGTATGACGTTGCGTCCCAATTGAGTTTTTACATTGAAGGATCCTGCAGAACATCTTGCTTCTGGACCTGGACCTCACAGTCAGCCCAACTCACTCGAACACTTCTGAAAGAACAATGGGCACCTCTATGCACCTCTAGAGATTTCCAAGTTCTTTTAAGTGGACGGGTGTTTTGCTCATCATGCGGGCCTCATTCTGATTGAGCGTGTGATAGCCATTTAATTATAAGTGTGGGTCGAACAATGGTCGTACAGTACATACATGTTCAATGTCAAAAGGTACATGGCCAAAACATAGCATGCTCACGCCAAGGAATACCTTGCTTGTCAACATGTTTTGCTGTGAATGAATCGAGGTTTTTTTCAAGGTCGTAGATTCATCCAGTGCCCTCACTGGACCAGATCAAGCACGGTGACTCCGAGACTCCTGGTGGATTCTTGAATTCTTGTCCGGATGGAATCCATCTTTCCTTCACCTCCGGACCGAAATCCCAGGAGATTTGCATCGTTTTGGAGATGCCACGTGCCGCTTTCATCGCGGCTCTGGAGGATCATCCGGAGGCGGAATCCGGGTTTCACACCCGCGTCAACGACCCGAGGCGTCAACGCCCGGCTTGGTCGGTCCGTCGGTTTCGGCACCTCCCAAAGAGTCCATCGCGGTGCCTCCGAAGTGGCGGTCGGTTGGTCGGTGGGTCGGATTGTTGGTTTTCAGTGAGGTATCTTGAACGACCGGGAGGACGAGGAAGGGCGACCGGGGATGTTGTTGGAGAGGCTTTTGGGTTAAGGTTTGGGGGTGACATGACTTTTGCAGAAGACCCATCCAGCAAGCTTGTGCGACTTGTTTTAAGCATTAGGAAAGAAGAAGAAGAAGCCAAGGGGAGAATTTGTGACGCAATCATGCTACTCAGTCACTTAGTCAGGCAAAACACACTCTTCTCACTGTGGATTTCCTCCTGAGTCTCTCTCTCTCTCTCTCTCTTTCTCTGTTTGAGCATGGGTGTGCAATTGAATAGGGAGACCTTCCAGTTCAGCCTTCTCTTTGTTGGACCCCTTCCACTTCGCCAGGAACAAGAGCACTTCCAGAAGATTGGGCGCCAACACGGCGTGGTGGTCGCCAGTGCGCCGCGTCCGTGTCGTCCGGTGTTTGATGTCCGGCTCATCCTTCCCGTGAAGGACGAAATCAACTTGCTGGTCCGGTCAATCGCTGGGTCGGGATCTCGCCCTGGTTGGTGGTGAATAGGGTTTTTTCTATCATGGTTGCGTTCTGCACACCTAGGAGTTCTGTGTCGATGCCGAACTGGGGGTCCTTCATTGGACTTCTTCCGCCATGCCAAAGCGGGAGATGGTGGAAGAAGTCCTTTTCCTCCAATTCCCGGTGGGATTTTAGGAGCAAATCAGATCTTGTTGTTTGTTTGGTGTCTGTGTGTGTTGGGGGGGAATCGCATCAGGTGTTCAAGTTAAAAACCCTGTGTCAAGTGAGGAAGCACGACTACTATATACAGATCCCAAAAAATAAGACTGCAGAAAGATGCTGTAACTTCTTTGACCCATTTGCTGATACTTCTCCCAGGCTCTGACTCAGTTGGAAAGAGGAAGAGCCAAGGTTTAGCATCCGCGTTCGATGCGAAAATTGGAAGAGGTTTCTGTGTTCATTGTTTTGCAACTCCTGAGAAACTACTATCTTTTCGACGCGCCATTTTTCCACGGAACATTTTGGGGTGAAAATCCCTTGTCTTGACTATCCTGTGCGTGGTTGGGAAGTGAATCACAATGAATCACCATTTTTTTGAGCTGAATCTTTGACTCCAACACACTCCAACCCGACCCCGACGGCCCGGCTTGCATGGCAGGTACTCAGTGGCCACTTTTTGAGGGTGCTTCCCAGAAACTTCTCTCCCTCATCAACCTCTATGCCAGGACTGCTGTTAAACGCAGTTCAGGATGTTCAGGGGACTATATACCAGGTGTAGAAAGTAGGTGGGTTGCAGCATTTCTTCAGGGATTGCGTTGCTCTTTCATGAGCGATCGCACGAATGTTGCCTTTCGCCGTTGCGCCCCATCCTCGCATGTTCCTGTACTAAGTCCAGTGGACGAAGTCTAGGAATTTCCTGTACTTCGGTGGTGCCAAATATAGTCGAACTGGACTTCTAGGCTTTAGGGTATGGATCAAGCCAACAGACAAGGAAGGCCTGATTTGTTTAGAACTGCTTACATTTGTTGTTGTTGAACAAGACTTCTAGGGTGTTTCGGCTTACCAGAGATTCGAACATCAAGCTTGGGATTAGTTAACCCCAGCCGCTGTCCCCAACCAACCTTCGGGCGGCGGCAGAAGCCCGAGAAAAGCTGGAGCTAGCTGGGCGGCGGTTTCACCCTGATTCGCCGGCTTCGTCAGAGCTTGATTGGCTGATCGATGCAGGGCTGGGATGATTCTTGATGTACGCCCACGCACGCGCGGACGCATGCACGCGCAGAGGGCAAGGAAATGCGCTAACTGCAGATCGGACCGGTGGGATACTTCAATATGGCTGTGATTGATACCGTATACCGACCGGTTCCCTGGCAAGTCGTTTGCTACACGGTGGACCCAGGCTTCAGGTGGGTCGCGACCTCAAAACCCCACCGCCTCATCCGATCGACGGTTGAACGACCACAAATCCAACACCAGATTCACATGCACTTCGCTCCACCAAGCGCCTGGCTTTTCTCTCATGGGGTATATGCTATGGTATGCTCAAACAATGCCCGGACGAAGTCCGGGACGCACGCGCGCACACACACATACGGATCCGGGAAGGCGTGTGTGGGTGGGGATTTCGCACATGAAGTTGGGTGGGTCGTATGGTCATACTGAGAAGTTGCGCAAGGATGCCTCGCATACAAAACTCTGTGGCGGTTGCAGGATCAAGTGTTTGTTGCTTCTCTAGAGACGGTGGAAGCATGGGACGGGCACCACCAAAGCACCGTAAATACCGTGGTTTTCGCATGTTCCATGGAACGGGAGAGTCCGCGGGAAGCAGGAAGGATTCGGTCCGAGAACCTGACTCCCCGCGGGCAGGAAGCATATCACCGCGAAAGGCCACTGGTCCACCTTCAACGGAGAACAGCACCGGCCTCGGCGGGTCGAAAGGGGATTCACAATGGGTTCACCAAACCACGCGGTGCGTGGCCTACGATTGATTTAAAGGCCCGAATCCCGAAGAATCACTTGTAAAACCAGGATGTTACACTGCAAAACCAGGTCTTTTGTATTCTTACAAATTCTTATGTACAATGGTCTTTGAAGGCTAGGGATGTGGGTGTGTCCTGGAACATGGAGACCCTCCAACTGCCTCCAACCAAGGTTTTTTTTGTTGATATTTCTTCGGATTTGTTGGAATTTAACTGGAGTGCCTGGGCGCTTTCGTGGTCGACCTGGTTGTGTAGTGTAGTGTAAAACCCGTCGTAAAAGCAATTAAAGGGAGTTGACAAGTTCCTTTTCAAAGTTCAGTGGTGGATCGCTGTCCTAGATTTGTGGGATGATTTGGTGGTGTGAATTTAATGGACATGGCAGAACTCACGAACATGACTCACACACACACACAAAAAAAGAAACTAGCAAAAGCTGAACACTATAAGTGATTTCGCAGATGGCCCAGTAGATGACAAGCTGCCGAGTGTTGGTTTCGGATCTGTTCCAACCTTTACTGGACCTGGAAACCCAATCCCAACCAACAGTTCTGGAATGTTCTGGATGTTTCTTCAGTTCCAGCCGCTTCCCATATGTAAAGGATCTGAACAAATTGCCATAATGATATTCCCCTGGAAGTCCAATGGCTAGGTCTCTAAATTTAGGTCACCCAAAAATTTGTGTCCGCTACTGCGGTGGTGCAATATACCCAGACACGACCTGTCTGGGACTGCCATAGGACTGCCGATTCAATTGGGGTGGTTGGTTGGGGGTCTTTCTGAGGCGGCGGCCCGCAGTCTCAGACAGGTCGTGTCTGGGATCACGTACAGTCTTGGGACTTCCGGAAGAACATGGAAGAACCACATCCCAAACACTCCACGTATGCAATACATGTCCACATTGGGGTGGTTTTGGGGGTCAATGTAGGCATATATGGCAGTCCCAGACAGGTCGTGTCTGGGATATGCACTTCTTTCCTCGGAAGTGCCCCGACCCCCACCGACCGAGGCTTCCGGAACACGCGGCGATCCTGGTGCTGCGCGGCGAGTGGCTTGGACGGACTGTGCACGGGCACCACGGAGGGCACACGATCAGTCAACGAGGCGGATGACGTCAACAGCAGTTTACACAGCGAACGTGAAGAACAGGGGGTCATTGATGATTGTGTTACTGTTGCATCCTAGATGTAAGGGATGGAAAGAGTTGTGAGCAATTAATTTAGACTCTGAGCTTAATATATGCTTATAGTTTTCATGGATTGAACAAGAAAGATAGAAGAGACGCATAACGACACTAATAAATCTACAACATCAAACCTCCATGAATTCCTTTGACCAAGCTTGATGCCACACACTTAAGACTCAGACACACATCAAGCTCCTTCAATAGGCTCTTTTTGAGGCTCCGAAAGCCACGACATGCTCTCGACTGGCTGAGGATCCGAATGGTGACGCCCGACAAAGGAGAGTTGGTCTTCACCGAGGGCACCTGCTTCAACGAGCCCTTCGGCGAGCGCAGAGAAGCCTTTGCCGCGTCCGCGCGACCCGTGCTCCGCGCGGAACGCGCGGGGGCCGATCAGTGTTGGCCAATCCGATCCACAAAGCGACATTCGTGGCGAGACAAGGCGAAACGTGGCCATTTCAATGGTTGGGCCACGAATCCTGGGGCGTTCGGGAATTGTTTGGGGCGAAGGGCCGTGAACGAAACGAACAGAGGGATTCTTGAAGTAGAACACCTGCAAGCTCCTTTTCAGCTGGGATCGCCACTTCATGGAGCTGACTTGGTGACTTGTGAGATGTTTCGCCCGGCAGTTCGAGCAGCACCCGCTTTAAGCAAGTAAGAAGCAAGTTGGAGATGGAAACAGGACACAAAACGAGCTTTGTCAACTTTTCTTGCAAACCTTACCTGACGATCACGATTATCACGATTGCGACAATTCTACCAGGTGCTGCAGATTGGGTAGCGGTCAATGGCACCCAAATTGAGCGAAGACAACTTCTTGTTCTTGTGTACCAAACCCCGAGCATGGCCAGCTCAGTTTGCCAGTTGGTGCAGGACTAGGCCAGGTCAAATGAAGTAAATTCAGATGCTTCCACCCTTCCTGCCTAGGCAGCTGCTCTTTGGCTTGCCACCGTTGGATGGGCGCTTGCATCCTCAGGGCAATTGCGAGGTTCAGATCATGTGGCCTGGCGAGAATATCCTCCTGCCCTGCCCAGTCCTCCACTACAGAATGGGCTGCAAAAACTCCCACCACCGGAATGAGAAGAGGGATTATTGAATGATATTGAGACTATAAAGTAGATGGACTACATATTGAAGTTTTTCCTCAGGAACACAACATCTTGGGTGTGAAACCTAATCGGCTGCAAGCTGAAAAGACATGAAAAGACATGCACTTGGAAAAGACATGGAACTTTCACCTCCTACTCAAAACAAGTGGGTCTCTTGAATCTTTTGAATGTCACGCCCCATATTCAGGTTTTCTTTGCACAGCCGAGAGTCTCAGCTAGCTTCTAGCTTGCTACATCACCTGTATTATGGAGTCTGTTGACTCTCACCCTGTCAGCTTCCGCCCCCCTCAGCTTCCGCCCCCCTGTGACCCCTTTGGACCTCCATTGTCACCCTGTCAGCTTCCCTTCGGCCGAACCAACTCCACTCAACCCCTTTCGGCCGAAACCCCCGAGGACGGCGGACATCTTCGACCGGGTCGTCGCGGAGCGGCGTCGGCGTCGACACGACCTGGGCGGTGGTGGTGGTGGTTTTTTCACGACGCGCGGGACGACGCGGCGAGTGCGCGGCGCGTACCGGTCCGACTGGTCCGCGATCGGTCCGCGATCCGGGAATCCGCTGGGACGTGTGGAGGATGGACGCAGCAGGACTCCAAGGATGGATGCGTACTTGAGGCAGATGGAAGGGGCCCAGTCAGACGTACTTGATTTTTTCATATTTTTTCAAGAATGAGGGGATTTGCACTGGGCACCTGAAATTTAATTAGATGTTTGTTGACTAGCAGTCGTAGTGAAGAAGACCATTAGATTTGGATTGTAGTATCCTTGTCGGCCTTGATCCTGGAACTTCGGGAATGCTCGTACGCACCGCGAATGTCAAACATGGTCAAGCATCTGGCACGTACACAGTAAGGGGGGGAGTCGGCACGTACAGTGCTGTCCGCGAAGTCACATATAGGGCAGAGCTCTGGATGCGTTTGTCTCTCCCTAGGGATCCAGTAACTACCTTCTCCGAACCTCAGGTTCGGTACGACTGGACCCTCTTGGCACCTACATAACAGTGTCGAACGCATCACCTTCCGAGGTTCGGTACGTGGATTCCCAGGGTCGGTACGTGGCTTCCCCGAGAACGGAGGGGCGAGAGGTCGGTGGTTTGGCGCTGATGGTGTTGGGCCCCACGCTGGGGATGAGCAAGGCGTTTGGACCCACCCAGTCAGGTGGTCGCAGAAGAAAGGAAGAAACCATCCCACCACATGGGATTGAAAACATGAACTATCATGAACTATTGGCAGTATAACATCGATCTATATAGATGACATTCATTTTTGTTGGGGGACGGCATTTCTTCTTCGAACACTGCTCTGCCTTCCGCCCTCTTCCGCCCTGACCCGTCCATGGAACCCCCGGCAGGAGTGTCCTCATGAAAGGGACTTCATCATGCAACGCATCGTGAACGAGATCGCGCGCAAGGCCGAGCAACACATGGGCTTTGGACGAGGCTGGAGCGGAGCGGTTCGGAGCACATAGGCTTCGCGCGAAAACGCCGCGCGGAGCGGGCGATGTGGGTTGATCTGCCGCGTTGGACTGGGCGTTAGGAGGGGTGAGGAGGGGGCGAGGACGCCATGGCGTTTGGTGTTTGCTGCTTTCTTGCGGTTGTTTGTTTGTTTGCTTGTTTGTTTGTTTGTTTGTTTGTTTGTTGTGTTTGTGGTGAAATTCTGCTTATGGTCCCGGGTGCATGGACTGTTCACCATGTGTCACCTGGACAATCCGACAATCCGTGCACCCATGAGGACCATGAATTGCACCCAAATCTGTGGTCCAGCGATGAATGTCTTTCTTCGAGACAGACGAATCAGGATCATCCCTGGCGATTGCAGAAAGGTGCTGCAGCTTTCCTCACGGTTTCAGAAGTGGGTGACAGAATGGCCGGAACGCATGAAGCAATCTTTAAGTTCACTCCCTCCAATATAGACCCAATTGCTTTGCCCGCGGAGCGAGTTCGAGAATTCCGTGGACCTGCAGCTCTGCAGAGCAGACACCTGCACCAACAGTGCCAATGAAACAGGGTTCTGCTGCCTCATCAGACTTGGGCAACTCAGACATATACCCAGACACTCCATGTATGCCATATATGCCTACATTGACCCCTCAAACCACCCCAATGTATGCATATATGGCATACATGGAGTGTCTGGGATATGTGTTCAGACAAAACCAGGGACGTTAAGGTTCACATTGAATAAAATCCGACAGTGCCCTGCGGGCCCGGCCTTGCCTCCAAATCCAGGTTCACAAGGAAGAGGACTGAATTGCTGGAACACCTACTCCAGGAACTATACCTCTACCTCCTGCCACTGATCCACATGACCAAGCACCAGCACAGCTGTCCCTGCTACAGGAGGACTAGTCATGCTGCCCCACATGGACCTGGCTGGACACCTGACAAGCAGGTCCGCCTGTCATGGTGGACGTCCAAGCACCTGTCATGAGCTTGAATCCTGGCCACGTCAGCCCTTGACGATTCCTGGATGGCCGAATGTCTGCAGTTTTCATGAAGAGCGTTTTTTGGTACCGAAGCACACCGGTGATCTGCTCGCGGTGCGCTTCAGAAGGCTTTCCTTCATGGTACTTGCTTCGGTGTTTGCCGTACATTGCATGTTGCACGTGGCATGGCAGACATGGCAGACATGGCATATAGGTTCTGGCGGCGAGAAGTGACTCCTTTCGTGGTGTTGTATTGTTTGGTTGATTGCTTATGTTTGCTTAGTTATTATACATTTGAAACAAGGCAAAACCACCCTGAGGACTTGATGCTGTAGCAGGACCTTCATATCTGAACGCCACGGCTTCCGTTCTACAAAGGTCCAGCTTTGGAAGGTCCACGAGCGGTTCGGTTTCAAGAGGGCCCCGTTCGTAGCGCCCTTGCTCCGTTCGTAGCGCTGCCAGGGGCCCCTAGTACTGTAGTAGCTTCTTGCCAACCAAGTGAAGGTTCAGGGGATGCAGGACAAAACTCGGACACCGCGCCATGTTGGCCAACCAAATCCACGTTTTTGCCATGTTCTCGCAATATCTCCAATTTGCGAACTTGTGTGGTCCCAGACTGCGAAGGCAAATCTCAGATCTCAAAGTTTATTTTTTTTAAAGGGGAAGCTCAAAGGTTCCTTATGAATCAAGTTCTGCCAAATGATCCCAAAGGCTCCATGATGATTCCTTATGATCCAGGAACTCTGAGAATCTGAGTGATCCAAAATGATTCTGCCACTCGTGGCTCCAATATGTCTGAACTCCTCCGTTGGTCTCTCCCACTGGTTGGTCGCTCCTTAGATTCTGCAGAGTGACTTGAATGAATTCCCCGCCGACCTGATCCAGGTGATCCCGGCGGCGCCCTCGTGCTGAGCACCGTGATCCAGGCGGCTTGGGGCGTCGTTCGTGCGCCGAACCGAGCGCCACCGGTCGCAAGCAAATCAGAGGTGAAGTGACCCGGAAACGCCTGGGGTACCCAACTGGGATACTCGAACTATAGGGTTCTGACCCACCTTGGTTGGAACAGGCTGGATTGATGTGTGTGGAGATCACGTGACGAAGATCAGCTCAAGATTACTCCTGTTCGGGGCATTTGTAGCTCAATGAAAAAGGTCCCAGGGTGACATGCATCCCATATGAATCAATTTCTACACCTGGCTGGAGACTTCAACAATTTTTTCCCTATCAATCATTTCACCTCTCGAACGAAGACTTGAACGAGTTTTTCCTGTAACATTCTCTCTCAACTGACAGGACTCTTCGTACCTTGAATCTCTCCGGCACCTTCTTCGTACTGCTTCGCCCCATTGAAACACCGCCACGCTGTGTGTGCCGCGACCATCCAACCGTCGCCATGCACGCGCTCGCGCGTTCGGCGCCGCAGGTGGCCGCGGACGACTTCGCGGACCAACTGCGGCGGCGCATCGACGCGCGGATCTACGAGCCGGGCGCGGTGATCACGGCGCCTCGGACGGGTCCGACGAGGTGGGGACGACTCGGTGGGGACAACGGGGTCAACGGTGGGGAAAATGCGAATGATCTCTTTTGAGGGAGTAATGGTGGGATGCGTGTACATTGTTTGGGTGAAGTATGGTGAAATGAATTGAAATGATATGTTTTTGGGATTCGGATGAGTGTGCACTTTTAGCAGATCGTCATGCGGGTGTGGTTCTTCAAGAACAAGGATAGAGAACTTGAGTTTGTGGGTGGGGTTGGGGTTTAGCTGATGTCGGAGCCATCGCCTTTCGGCTTCACCAAGCACTTCGTTGGATTTGGGGCTCCCCCACTGCAACGCTCCAGTTCGTTGCAGTGGGCAAAGTTTGGTCTTTCGCAAATCAGGAGTGAGTCACCTAGCCCATAGGCGTGGGATTCATTTGGATTCGTAGATCTATGATCCTATGTGTTTGTTTATTCTGTGTTTTCTTGCGACTGATGGACGAGGGCATGGATATGATGAATCAACCTGAACGAGTTTCGGATCGCTCCACGAAAAAAAAAAGAAAAAACAGGCATCCAGGCATCAAGCCGCAAGAGTGACCCCCTGGATCCCGCCCTGGATCCCGCCGTGGGAGGATGGGTGGCATGGTGACTTCACTCAATCAGGCATGATCAATAACCATCCATTTGAGCTCTCACATAGCGGAGAGGAGTATCTATATACCAGCTGCTTCCGTTTGGGGTCACCTGGCTGGATATCTCCACAATTCTCCACACTACTTACAGGTCTCCTTGGAAGCACTATAGGTATATATATTGTAGCATATTGTAGCACTCCCCAGCTGCGAAAGCCAAGGAAGCTGGACAGGAGGGCAACTGCATGCAGCTTGTCTCCGAGTCATGCGAAGCTTTCGTTTGGGCATGCGAAGCTTGTGCGGACCAACAAGCTTGTGGGGATAAGAGTGAGATTTTGTTGGGGAAGGTTGCTTCGTTTTGCTTCCTGGGGTGTTTGTCCGTGTTGGATAGGGCACCATATTCGGCCAGGGAGAGAAGTCGCTCTTTCCTACCTTTCCTTGGTCAGGGCACAAAGTGGGTTTGACCTTGGACGTGTTGAGAGGGCCTTGGTCGTCCTACTACCAAGCAATTTTTGCAGATCAAAACTCGATGAACACCAGTGGACCAATAATTACAGCCAGGAATAATATCCTTCAAGGTCCCTATACTAGCCAACCTTGCACATGTGTGACTCTTCTCAAAAAAGGCCTGGGGTACCAATGAAAGAGTAGTTTTCCAGTACCACATGAGAACGACCTTTCATGAGCTCAGAAGCTCCTCCCTATGGATCCACATACCGAACCCAATCCGGTACAGTGGAGATACGTACAGGTGCCAGGGTCGAGTCCAGTCATACCTTTTTCCTGTTGTACGGTGGATCGGTGGATCCCCATAGGACCGCATAGGACCCTTTGTTAGGCTTTAAAGACATCCGTAGACCACTTGTTGCGTCTCAAGTCAACCAGAGTCTTCTCCCAATCTGGTGCCAATCCGGTGCCAATCCGCATTGGAGCAAGAACTTGGCCGCCGACAACTCATGCGTTCTGACATGTTCTGACGCAGAATCAACCAGAAATAGGGTGGATGAGTGGATGAGACCTTTGAGCCGCAGAGTCTGCAATTTAGCGATAGACACGCCATGGATGGTATACGTTGACCCATTTTTCAATCACCGAGATGATGTGAATATGCCAGACCCATGAAGTGTTTGGGATTTCTTGCACGCAGTAAGAGTTCAGAAGCAAACACTCACTATTTAATACTATTTATATAGTTGATTTTTGCTATCTGTTGGAGTAGTGCGGGGGAAATGGTGGTTGGGCAACCACTGTATCTTTCTATCGGCCGAAGACATCAACAAGACATACAAGACATTGACCTCAGAACCTTAAAAAATCCTGACAATGTAATTACTCTCCGACTCACTAAACATGGAAGTGGATGGAATGGTCCCTTGAAAGACAACTTTTCTTTATGAACAGGGGATTTTTGCACTTCCATATGTCGTGAGTCTCTTGATCAACAACCTCCTCCAATTGAATTGAAACACCTCCTCTTCGTATGCGGTTAATCAAGAGGAATCACGTTCTGGGTATCCTGCATAGAGGATCACCGTAGGTTTTCCTGCCGGATTCCAGGTTCGTGCTGGTGGATGGAGAAGCGGAGAACGAAGGTGATGGCTTGTGCCATGGTACCTCGGCACGCGTGTTTAACGCAGAAGCTATTCAGCTATGAGTCATTTCGGTGGTGAGTCGAATTACCTAAGAACTTAGGGAAGAGGCTGGTGAAGCTCTATCACTTTGGGCCATTGGCCTGTTTTGAGCCCGGTGTGGCAGAGCTTTCGCTTCTGAGGCAAAGCACTGCCATTGAAGGTGGGCAGCGTCTTTGGTGTTCCTTGGCAAGTCGATCTGGTCGGTCTTGGGTCCCCAATGCCGATTGGTGGGACCCGACCATTTTCCTCCACATGCTCTGCCCTTGGTGTCCAAAGAATCGCCGTGTTTGGGGTTGTTATTAGGTTGGAGGCCATCGCTATAGTAGCTCTTTTGGTGTGGAATCGGAGTGTTTTTGGGGTTGCTTTCTTCAGGTGATGCTCCAAGCCCTCACCAGTGTGGGTCAGTCAAGGAATGAGACAGAAACCTCCGTGAACCTCTGTGAACCTCGTGTTTTCTTTGGTCGATCCTCAGGGTATGTGATGGCGTTCACACAGTTGAGTTGATGTTTGATGCCCCACTGTGTGCTGAGTTCGTTTTGTGTCACTTGGGGAAAAGAGACATCACCTGAACTTGCTACCCCTGCTGGATGAGCTTGACTTCCGGAAGTCTGGTCGAGCTTTGACCCTGAAAGCGTGTTCTTGTATTACAATAAGAACCCACCACCTGGGAGTACAGAGCAACGAGACCTGTGTGGCAGTACCCACGAGACGCAAGTCGTGTCCTTTTGTGGAGATCAAACGGAACACACGTAGCCTCCAAAAGACAGAACACATTAACAAACAACTCTGAGCCAGACCAAGAAGGACTCTCTATTTTGTGGTTTGAAGCGTTTTGCACGGTTGACCCTATGTTTGAAACGGAACTGTGCCAAGGATAGCAGTTCTCGAGTTCTCTTCAGAAACAGAAGGACATGTTCTTGGCCACAGAAACAGCGTCCAGTTGACTGGTCCAAGGACATATGAAACCCATCGAATACAACATATCTCAGATATCTCAAAGGAGGCAACACCATGATAGACCATACAAGTAACTAGTATATAAATTGTCTTCCATATTTGAAACTACACCAACCACTCAACACCTGTGGTTAGGGTCTTATGCTGGTGTATGTCCTGTCTTCTTCCGGGAGCACCTTCGGCAGCTCCTCCCGCCGTTGTTTGGTGGAAAAGACCGTCAATAACTGAGTGTTTTGGTGTATGAACACAAATGAACATATGGAGACCTTCAGCTCCACTGGAAGTCAGAAAAAT